CCCGTATCATGATGCTGCCACCTCCGTGCTTCACTGTCAGGACCATGCATCCACTGTGGTGGTCCTGGTCAGGTTCACACCAAACATCTGGACTCTATTGCATGAGCAAGTAAAAGTAGGAGGGAGACGACGTCAAAGACTTTCTGTGTTTGCTTAAAATGCAACCTGGGTGTCCAGGAAGTCTGCTGCACTGACACACGTGGATGAATCAGCGCTTAATGGTCTCCATTGATAAGCCCTGTGCCAAGTCTGAAGCAGCTGCCTTTGTCTGGTGTTCACAGCTCCATAGTGACAGTAGTTGACTGTCCGTGGAGTCATTGTAGGAGGACGACCACTGCAGCCCTGATCAGTGCTACTATGGCTCCTTCTGGACCTCCTGGTTCCTGCTCACACTGGGCTGCACTGGGTTGTAGCTGCTCACTGATCTTCTGGATCCTTTTCCATCTTTGTCCAGTCTCTCAGTCAGATGTTTCTCTTCCTCTGTTCAGGTCTTCTCCATGTGGAGCCATGATGCAGACATAGATAGACACAGTCCAATGGTCCAGAACTGAGAAGGTTCTGCTGCTCTCAGCTCATTTTGGACAAAGTTTAGTGAATCTGTCAGTCCGTTTTTAAAAATTTTGAGTTGTTTTGGATTCATCTTGAGTCATTCTTGATATTCGTAGCTTGTGTTGGACAGGTTTGGAGTCATTTTGGAGGTTCTGGTGTTTGTTTTGTTCTTTTCTATAAACTCACTTTGGTTCCTTTGAGTTTCTGATCTGGGGCTTGAATTTTCAGTACAGTCTTTCTACGTCATTGCTTTTGAATGTTAATAGGAGGAAATATTCCATTTGTCAACTCAGAAACAATGCAGTCATTGAGAAGATGATGCATTTCTGAACTATCTGACATCCTCGTGTCCGTGTCTATCTGGGTTTTCTCATGGAGATCAATCTAAGCTGCATAAAATCAAGGCTCTACATTAAACGTCTGCTGCGGCCTCCTTTTGTCAGCTTCGTGTCACAGTCATGCATTATTTACGTAGCCGCCGCTGAAGGAGAAACACTGAGCACATCGCGGTGTGTTTGTACGTATCGGGGTCAGACGGGTTCGCCGCTGCGTTGGATCAGCTTATAGGAACCTGAGTCAGCAGACGGCGAGCGGCATCAGGGGGTGATGATCTCATTAGTGCACAGAAATGTGTGTTTTCCTGCAGGCAGGAATGTGAAGACAGCAGAGAGGCGTTCGACGTCGCCTCCTCAGGCCTCCTCTCTGACCCACATGCATCCCTCTGAGCCCGGCGGCGGCTCGCTGCTCTGGCCGGCTTCGGGAGGCGTGAGGCCGGGAGTGTGACCGGCGGCGTGACAGGAACGAGCGCTGCAGGAGGAGGGACCGGCAGCGCTGAATCGGGGCCGTCGCTGTGGCGGCACAAAGGCCGGAGCGGCGACTCTGCAGCTGTGGGCCTACGTGAGCATCGGCAGGAACGCTCTCATCCCCCTCCCTCCCCTCCGGCTCCCCCCTCCTTCGCTCATTTGCGCCCTCAAATAGACTCCTCAGAGCCCCCACCGTCCGGCTCCTGCTTTGCCCAAATCCTCCCTTCTCTGCTCTCTCTGTCATAACTGCCTCCCATGTTCGGATATCTGAGACAAAGATCCGGTTTCGAACGTGGCCCGAAGTCACCTCGACGTTTGTGCAGTTTCTTTTTTTTCTGCTCGCATGCAACGGCGTGCATGTCTGCAGACGGTAAGGCCAAGGTCAGAGGTGATCCACGGACGAGGGGGAGGAACGAACGCAGCGAAGCAACCGGAGGAGCATCAAGGACGAAATACAGCAGAAAAATGAGTTTGACAAAAACTGGAGATATCAGAGGAGAGCAGAACACAATAAAGAGATAAATCGTCCTTGTGCTCTGCAGCAGGTGTATTTTCTGGCAGCGGATGGAACTACATGTTGTTGTTCAGGCAGGATGAAGAGCAGCGCTGCCCTCTACTGGCTCAGCAGGGAGGTGGCCCGCGGTTCCTGCTGCTTCAAGCACGTTCACATGGAAATAGTGCCGTTTTATGGCAACTTAAGGCTTCAGACATGCTGAGGAACCTCCGGGTGCAGAGATTTAAATCATGCACCTGCAGCATGGTGAAAATAAAACAGCATCTGTGCAGAGAAATCTACATATTTATGATTTTTCTCTCTAGTTTCAGTGCATCTTGCAGGAAAATCTCTAACTTACACAGTGCAAATTATGAACTCGTTAGTAAATAAGCAAGAAAGCTAAAGATGAGAAAAGAAAGTGTTTTGTTTGTGCCCTTTTTTTTCCCCAAACACAAGTGGAATAATTTGTAAATTTTACATGCATCTTTCAAACACATTTGCATTTCCGTGCACCAAAAACTGGATCAGGGCATGAAAATCTTTATTATGACACACTTCAAACTGCATCACGTTACTGCAGCCGAGCAGCTCGATGAATCTGCAGAAAATCAGCCCATAAAAGTCTATTTTTCTCAGTGAATGTGCGGCGAAAATGGATTTTATACACAAAAGCGAGGAAATAATGCAGCTTTGTTCATAGACGAGATTTGTTGCAAAACACAGAAAAAAAAAACACTTCTGAAAAATAGAAGTGAAATGATTTTGGGTGGAAGTGAAACTGAGAAGTGAAAGCTGAAAGTGAAAAGCAGCAAATTAATATTATTATTAAAAAAAAAAAACACATGAATCAGAGACGCTGCATGAAAACAAGTCACATGCTGATAAACTGATGAATGAAGCAGAAATCTTTGCACTCTGCTGCCGGATGTTTGTGTGAACTCGTCTGTCTCTGAACTAGACTCAACATTTTCTCCTCAGGAGTCGCTGTCAGCAGGTTATTGGGTTAAGGACGCTCCAGCGACAGCATGCCGGAGTGAGAACGCAGCACAGTTCATCCACAAAGTTATTCATAGCAATGCCACATTTTGATTTGTAGTGATCTATTTTGTAGAGCATCGTGAGAAATAAGGACAACATTGAGATTGTAGAGGACAACATCAGGAAGTCTGCAGAAAAACATCCAGCAAGACAAATCTGTGGAGGAAC